CTCAGGACTTAGTCTCGGGGCCTCGTTTATTCATCAACTTACCTCTGCTTGCCATAGGAGAAAATTAATCCTCTGAAATTTTCGGACTGAAGTTTTCTGGGGCAGAAAATAGAATAACGCTTTTGTAAGATCAGATATCGATCCATTATTTTCAATGACTCTCTCCGAAACAGCAAAACCATCGACAACCACCCAAGGACCAACGTCGTCCCTTGGCTTCACAACAACTGCCCGGGGTTCACCTTCGGCAACGACGCAAGGCGAAACAACTCCCGCCATCTCAGTTCCCCCACCGGCTGTGTTTGTTGAAGCCACTTTGTTGGAACCTTTTGTGGAAGACTTGAACGATCCCAGCAGCGAACAATACAGAGAACTTGAAACACAAGTGGTGTCAATGGTGGGTTCAAGCGACGTTTCAACGATGGGAATTTTTGCTTCTTTCACGAAAGTTACTCTGTTGTTCTACGTTTCCATCCTTTGACAGTGCGACTTCATCTTCTTCCAAACGTTTGGTTCCATTTTCTTTGGCACTGTTGTTCTTGGATTTCGGTAAGATTTGAAATCCATGACCCAAATCCCGCCAATGACACCGACGACATTTGAACTAAATCCTGCACTCTTGACATTCAAGGCCAGAAAGGGGAAACACGCAAGTCGACGTGGAACTGCAGTTCAACGTGTCGGCACCAGTAGAAGCTATCCCCGCAGCAGACGTGGTCACAGAAGTATTGGTCGAAGCTGCGATTAGTCCCGATAACCCCTTCAACATCACTCTTGATCCAGACTCAATTGTAGCCAGTTGTAAGTGAAAACATTCTCTCCTTTGGATGTGGACTGATTTCAATCGTATCCTACTGAACCCGTTCAGATCCACTTCCATGACTAACACTGTTCCTCAGGACTTAGTCTCGGGGCCTCGTTTATTCATCAACTTACCTCTGCTTGCCATAGGAGAAAATTAATCCTCTCAAATTTTCGGACTGAAGTTTTCTGGAGCAGAAAATAGAATAACGCTTTTGTAAGATCAGATATCGATCCATTATTTTCAATGACTCTCTCCGAAACAGCAAAACCATCGACAACCACCCAAGGACCAACGTCGTCCCTTGGCTTCACAACAACTGCCCGGGGTTCACCTTCGGCAACGACGCAAGGCGAAACAACTCCCGCCATCTCAGTTCCCCCACCGGCTGTGTTTGTTGAAGCCACTTTGTTGGAACCTTTTGTGGAAGACTTGAACGATCCCAGCAGCGAACAATACAGAGAACTTGAAACACAAGTGGTGTCAATGGTGGGTTCAAGCAACGTTTCAACGATCGGAATTTTTGCTTCTTTCACGAAAGTGACTCTGTTGTTCTACGTTTCCATCCCTTTACAGTGCGACTTCATCTTCTTCCAAACGTTCGGTTCCATTTTCTTTGGCACTGTTGTTCTTGGATTTCGGTAAGATTTGAAATCCATGACCCAAATCCCACCAATGACACCGACGACATTTGAACTAAATCCTGCACTCTTGACATTCAAGGCCAGAAAGGGGAAACACGCAAGTCGACGTGGAACTGCAGTTCAACGTGTCGGCACCAGCAGAAGCTATCCCCGCAGCAGACGTGGTCACAGAAGTATTGGTCGAAGCTGCGATTAGTCCCGATAACCCCTTCAACATCACTCTTGATCCAGACTCAATTGTAGCCAGTTGTAAGTAACAACATTCTCTCCTTTCGATGTGAACTGATTTCAATCGCTTTCTGTCTGAAATTTTCTTTGACAGATAATAAAATAACACTTCTCCAAACAAATATCGATCCATTATTTTCAATGACTTTGTCTTAAACAGCAAAACCATTGACAACCACCCAAGGACCAACGTCCTCCCTTGGCTTAACAACCACGAATGGCTCACCGTCACCAACAACCCAACGGACGACAACTCTTGTCACCTCAGTTCATCCACCTGCTGTGTCCATTAAAGCCACTCTGTTGGAACCTTTTGTGGAGGCACTGAACAATCGCGGCAGCGATCAATACATAGAACTTGAAACACAAGTGGTGTCAATGGTGAGTGTACAGTTAAGTGATTACATTTTTATCATGCTTCATTGTCCATCCTTCCATCCATCCATCCATTCATCCCTTCGCTCATCAAATTGTTCTCCTCAACATTTGTGATTCCATGTCATTCACGTAGAATCGTAATCAGGCAAGCCAGACATCCCTGTCTTCAGATCCCCACCCCCACCCCCACTTCAGGTCTAATGGGGGTAATACCGAGGTGTTCCGCAGCCTGCTGTCAGACCTTGTCCTTAATGATTGTCGTGGTTCCGCAAAGTTTGCGACGGCCATGAATCCTGTGTGGGGATGCGATCCATTGGCCCTTCTCCGTGGTTATGATCCGGGTGTTCCCTTGTTTTGGCGTGTTTCAGTCTGTATGGTTCAGTCTGTAAGAGTCTATTGAAGCACTCTTTGTCTTATTGTTGCCATGGACTAATTTACCTTGCCAGAAAGAACTCGGGGCATTTAGCCCTTGACATTTTGGCAGTCAAAGCCATGGGTCCTATTGAGGTGGTTCTTCTTGGAGGGGTCATACTGATTGAATGCAGTCATTCTGTCAAGCCAAATTGAAAGACTAACTGTTGCTCATTTGTTGTGAACTTTGATTCTTCTTCTAGTGTGACTTAATCTTCTTCCAAGCTTTTGGGCCTATTTTCATCCGCACCATCGTAATTGGATTTAGGTAAATTCTGGAAATATATGAACTGTCTAAATCAGTTCACGATCCAGCCTATTACATTACATGATATTAACTTCTTACTTTTTCCATCTAAGTCAACAAATGGAAAACACTGAAGTAGAAGTGGACCTGGAATTCAACAGTACAATATCATCTGATGAAATCCCAGAAGCTGATGTGGTTGTAGACACATTGGTACAAGCTGTGATTAGTCCCAACAATTTCCCCCTCACGTTTGACCCAGACTCAATCGTAGTCATTTGTAAGTCAAGATTTCACATTCTCTTCTGTTCACATTAACATTTCAGTGGTTTTCAACTAATGTTTCCTTTTGTTTTCAATTTAGCTGCAGAAACATCAACTCAGAGTTCTTCCACTACAAACATGCCTATATCAACAACTTATGGACTTACAACTAAAGAACTAACAAGCCCTCAGTTAAATCTTGACAGCTCAACTGCTGACAAACCAACAACTATTGACGACTCAACAGCAACTGTTGAAAAATCAACAATTACAGTTGACAGATCTACAACTGATGTAGATGGATCAACGGCTATTGTTCAACGAAAAACTACTATTGACAAACCAACAACTGTTGTCGACTTAACAACTGAAGTTAATGAACCAACAGCAACTATTGATGAGTCAACAACCACAATTGAAAAATCAACAGTTGATGAATCAACAGAAACTACTGACAAAACAACTACTGTTCATAAATCCTCAACTACTATCAACCAATTGCCAACTGTTGTTGATGGGTCAACTCCTCTTGATGAATCAACAAGTGCTTTTGACGGGCCAACAGCTGTTGATGGATCAACAACAATTATTGACGTAACTACTATTAACGAATCAACAGTAACTATTGATGAATCAACAGCTGTTGTCGACTCAACAATTACCTTTGACGGGTCAACAACTATCGACAAATCAACTGTATCAACAGCTAATGTTGGATCAACAAGTGAAATTGACAGAGGAAGAAATACTGAAAAATCAACTGCTACTGACAAATCAACTGCACTGACTGAAGAATCAACGACTGTCAGTGAATCAAGTGCTACTATTGGCATCTCAACACCTCTTGTTGATGCATTATCAATCGCTGTTGACGGATCAACAACTGCTGTTGATGGGTCAACTACTGTTAATGAATCAACAATTACTTTCGACAAATCAACAGCAACTCTTGATGAATCAGCAGTAACTACTGACAGAATAACAACTGGTGTTGGGAAATCCACAATTACTGTTGACGAATCAACACCTCTTGTTGGTGGATCAACTGCTGTCGACAGATCAACAGCAGTTGATGGATCAACGGCCACTGACATAACAGTTGTCAAATCTACAATTATTGTTGACAAATCAACAACAAATATTGAGGAATTAACAGTGATTATTGATGAATCAACAGTTACTGTTAGTGAATCAACATCTCTTGATGCATTGACAAATAGTGTAAAGAGATCAACTGTTCTTGCCGAATCAACGATGACTGATGAATCAACAAATACTGTTGACAAATTTACAACTATTCCTGACAAATCAACAATTGATATTGAAGAATCAACATCCCTGTCTGTCAATGGATCAACAACCGGTGGTGATGGGTCCACTGCTATTGATGAATCCACAAGTTCTTTTGGTCAATCAACAGCTGTTGCCGGCTCAACAGTTGTAGATGGCAGATCAACAACTACTACTGACAAATCAACTCCTACTGACGAATCAACAGCAAGTATTGATGAAACAACACCTGTTGTATCAACAGCTGAAGTTGCCCAATCAACTGACAAATCAACTTTGATTGATGAATCAACAATAACGATTAACACATCGACATTTACCGTTGAATCAACAACAGCAATTGAGAAATCAAAAGCAACTATTCATGAATCAACAGCAAATGATGACGAATTAACAACTACCGCTGACAAATTAACGGCAACTTTTGGCAAGTCAACAGCCTTTGTTGGATCAACAATTGACATTGATGGATCAAGAACTATTGACAAATTAACTACTATTGACAAAACTCCAACTACTGACAAATCAACAGCATCTGTTGTCGGATTAACAACTACTATTGACACATCGACAAGTACCGTTGAAGAATCAACACCTCTTGTTGATGCAACAACGAGTATTGATGCATCAACAAGTTCTTTTGATGACTCAACAGCGGTTGTTAGCTCAACAATTGTGATCAACAGATCAACAACTGCTGACAAATCAACGACTATTGATGAAACAACACCTCTTGAAAAATTAACCACGACTGACAAATCAACAGCAAGTATTGATGAATTGACAGGTTTTGGATCAACCATTGAAGTGGAACGATCAACAACAATTGACCAGTCAATTTCTGATGTATCAACAACTATTGCCAAATCAATGATAACTACTGGCCAATCAACTACCCAGGACAAATCGACAGAAACTCTGAACAAATCAACAGGAACTATTGGCGAATCAGTGACGACTTTTGATGACTTAACCACTACTATTAGCAATTCAAAAACGGTTGCTGACGTATCAAAAACCACTGTTGACAGATCAACAGCCATTTTTGATGAACCGACAACTACTGGCAAATCAATAAGTACTATTGACAAATTAACACCTGCTGTTGACAAATCAACAGCAACTCTTGATGAATTAACTACTAATATTGATGCCTCAACAATTGTAATTGACACATCAACAACTGCTGTTGACAAATCAACACCTGTTTTTGATGCAACAATTACGGTGGACGAATCAACAACTGATGTTGACGGTTCAACAATTATAGCTGACGCATCAGCAACAGTTGTTGATGAATCAACTAATATGGACAAATCGAAAACTACTATTAACAAATCAACTTCTGCTGTTGACGGATCGACAGGATCTGATGATGAAACAACAGTGACTGTTGACAAGCCAACAGATACTACAGACAAATCAACAACTATAACTGATGAATCGACAGCACCCATCGACAGAACAATTGCTGTCGATGGATCAGCAACTGTTGACAGAATCACAGTAACTGTTGACGACTTGACAAAGGTTGACAAATCGATGACAACTACTGACAAATCGACAGAGTCAATTGGCGAAACCACAGCGACGATTGGCAGATTAACAGAAATTGTCGATGAACCAGCAACAACTACTGAAGGATTAACAACTATCTTTGACAAGTCAACACCTGCTTTTGATGCATCAACAAATTCTTTTGACAGTAAAACTACTCTTAGCAAAGCAACCCCTGTTTTTAACGGCTCAACAATTATAGTTGACGCATCAACAACTGCTGGTGACGAATCAACTACTATTGATGAATCAAATCCTACTATTGATAAATCAACTACTGAGGCTGATGGATCGACAGAAACTACCGATGAACCAACAGTGACTATTGACAAGCCAGCAGCTACTATCGACAAATCAACAATTACAGTTGATGAATCGATAGCAACTACTGACAAATCGACTGCCGTTGACGGATCAACAAATGTTGATGAATTGAGAACAACTATTGATGGCTTGACTATTGATGAATCAACAACTACTTTTGACATAACAACCTCTGATGAATTCACAATTACTGAGGAACCAAGGACAACTACTGACGAATCAACAGCCACGACTGACAACTCAAGAACTGTTGACAAATCAACCATTCCCATTGACAAATCAGGGACAACTATTGGCGAATCTACTAGCAATGATGAATCAGCAACTACTATTGATGACATAACGACTACTACTAGCCAATCAAAAACTGTTGTTGATGGATTGACAACAAACAATGACGCAGCAACAACCACTCTTGATCCATCAAGAACCAATGTTGATGAACCAACAAAGAGTGACAAATCAATCACTACGATTGACAAATCAACTCCTGCTGTTGACGAATTGACAACAACTCTTGATGTTTTAACGATTTCTGCTGATGCATCAACAACTGTATTCGACAGATCAACAACTGCTGTTGACAAATCAACACCTGTTGTTGACGGTTCAACAATTACAGTTGACACATCAGCATCTGCTGTTGATGAATCAACTAATATTGACAATTCAAAAACTATTACTAATAAATTAACTACTGCGGTTGACACATCGACGGGATCTATTGACGAGCCAACAGTGAGTGTTGACAAGTCAACAGCTACTCTGGAAAAATCAACAAATACAAGTGCTGAATCAACAGCAACTATTGACAAAACAACTTCTGTTGATGGATCAATAACTGTTGACAGGTCGACAACAACTATTGTTTTAGCAACAGCTACTACTGACAAATCAACCGCAATTGACAAATCAACAGAATCTACTGCCGCAGCTACGATTGGCAGATCAACTGAAACTATACCAAGAGATGAATTAACAACTACTTTTGACAGTTCAACAGTTTTTCGTGCACCAACAACGGCTTTTGACGGCAGAACTAGGATTCACGAATTAACCCCTGCTGTTGATGGCTCAACAATAACAGTAGATGCATCAACAACTGTTGCTGACGAATCAACTACTATTGATGAACCCAAAGCAACTATTGACAAATCAACTACTGTTGTTGATGGTTCAACAGAAACTGTCAATGAATCAACAATGACTCTTGCCAAGACAATAGCTACTACGCACAAATCGACAGCTACAACTGATGAACCAACCGCAACTATTGACGAATCGACTGCCATTGACCGATCAACAACTGTTGAGGGGTCATCAAAAAATGTTGACGAATCGACACCTGTTGATAATTTGACAACTGTTGATAAATCGATAACATCTGCTGATGATTTGACGGTTGATGACTCAAGAGCTACTACTGACGACTCAGCAACTTCTATTGACAAATCAACAACTACTGGTGACAAACCAACAATTACTATTGACGGATCAACAATGGGTGAATTAACAACTACTGATGACTCAACAACAACTCGGACAACTGCAGTCATCTCAGTTCCTTCACGAGTAGTGTCTATTGAAGCAACTCTGGAAGAACCCTTTGTCAAAGAATTGGAAAATCGCAGCAGTGAACAATACCAAGAACTTGAAACACAAGTGGTATCAACGGTGCGTATAGAATAAAGTAATCACATTTTCGGGAAAGATTTTATTGGACTCTGCAGAGACTGATCTCTGTCATGGGTTCTATATCTTTAGGGAGAGAACGTCCATGCACAGCCCTAGCGTAGAGAGTTTGCCCACTCTTTTATGTTGTATGTATGATATAGGGGAAATTGAGGTGGTTCGGGTAACTCGTAAGCATTCCTGGAGTTGTGCTACTGGTAGAAGGCCTTGGGGCTGGGGTTCTCTCAGTTGAGCTGGAGCCTGGGACGTGTATAGTTGGGTGCGTAGACTAAAGCCCCTGTCACCCGCCCTCAGATGCACATATGAAAATGAATGGATGGATGAACTATTTCATGAGATATTGAGTTAATGCAACCATTTCTTTTCATCACTTATTTTGACTTAAGTCAACTGATTCTTCTTACAGTGTGACCAGATACTCTTGCAAGAATTTGGAACCATTTTCATCCGTACCATCGTTACTGGATTTAGGTAATATTTGAAATAGAGGAAGCATGTGGAAATTTCAACTTGCTCGCCAATCTAAATTATTTATTTATTTTCAGTCCACAACAGGGAAACACAAAAGTGGAAATGGCCCTGGAGTTCAACAATTCAGTACCAAATGATCATGTGCCAGAAGATGACATGGTCGTTGAGACATTGATTCAAGCTGTGAATAGTACGAATAATTTCCCGCTCAGTTTTGTTCCAGACTCAATTGCAGTCATTTGTAAGTTAAGACTTCTGCCACCACCACCAAATTCTCTTCAATTTCCATCAATGTATTTTTTTGATGTCTATTATTTTTCATTTAAACAGCCGAAGCATCAGAAACTTCAACAACTGATGGACCATCACTTACACATGTGCCAATTATCACCGATGTCCCTGCCACTCAACAGCCAACCATCACCCATGGGCTAACCATCACTCATGTTCCGACAACTGTTGATCCAACCACCACCCACATCCTTACAACTCAAGGGCCAACTACCATTAATGGGCCAACCACTACCCATGTCTCTGCAACTCAAAGGCCAACTACCACTCATGGGCCACCACTCAGTGTTGGGCCAACCACCACCCATGTCCCAACAAATCAAGAGCCAACCACTACTCATGGGTCAACTACCACCCGTGTCCCTACAACTCAAGAGCCAAACCCCACTGATGGGCCAACCCCCACTGATGGGCCGACCTCCACCCATGTCCTTACAACTCAAGGGCCAATCACTACCCATGTCCCTACAACTCAAGCACCAACCACCACTCATGTCCCTGCAACGCTAGGGCCGACCACCACCGATGTCCCTGCAACTCAAGGGCCAAGTACCACTCATGGGCCAACCACCCCCCCTGTCCCTACAATTCAAGGGCCAACCACCACCCATGTCCCTACAACTCAAGGGCGAACCACCAATCGTGTCCCTGCAACACTAGGGTCGACCACCACCCATGTCCCTGCAACTGAAGGGCCAAGTACCACTCATGGGCCAACCACCCCCCCTGTCCCTACAACTCAAGGGCCAACCACCACCCATGTCCCTGCAACTCAAGGGCCAATCTCAACCCATGTCCCTACATCTCGAGGGCCAACCACCACTCATGTCCCTGCAACACTAGGGCTGACCACCACCCATGTCCCTACAACTCAAGAGCCAGCTACCACTCATGGGCCAACCCCCCCTGTCCCTACAACCCAAGGGCCAACCGCCACTCATGTCTCTCCAACACTAGGGCCGACTACCCCCCCTGTCCCTCCAACTCAAGGGCCAACCACGACTCATGTCCCTGCAACACTCGGGCCGACCACCACCCATGTCCCTGCAACTCAAGGGCCAACTACCACTCATGAGCCAACCCCCCCTGTCCTTACAACTCAAGGGCCAATCACTACCCATGTCCCGACAACTCAAGGACCAACCACCACTCATGTCCCTGCAACACTAGGGCCAAGAACCACTCATGGGCCTACCGCCCCCTCTGCCCCTACAACTCAAGGGCCAACCACCACCCATGTCCCTGCAACTCAAGGGCCAATCACAACCCATGTCCCAACAACTCGAGGGCCAACCACCACTCATGTCCCTGCAACACTAGGGCCGACCACCACCCATGTCCCTACAACTCAAGGGCCAGGTACCACTCATGGGCCAACTACCCCCACTGTCCCTACAACTCAAGGACCAATCACGACCCATGTCCCTACAACTCAAGGGTCAACCACCAATCGTGTCCCTGCAACACTAGGGCCGACCACCACCCATGTCCCTGCAACTCAAGGGCCAAGTACCACTCATGGGCCAACCCCCCCTGTCCCTACAACTCAAGTGCCAACCACCACTCATGTCCCTGCAACACTAGGGCCGACCACCACCCATGTCCCTGCAACTCAAGGGCCAAGTACCACTCATGGGCCAACCACCACCCCTGTCCCTACAACTCAAGGGCCAACCACCACCCATGTCCCTGCAACTCAAGGGCCAACTATCACTCATGGACCAACCCCCCATGTCCCTACAACTCGAGGGCCAACCACCACTCATCTCCCTGCAACACTAGGGCCGACCACCACCCATATCCCTGCAACTCAAGGGCCAACGACCACTCATGGGCCAACCACCCCCACTGTCCCTACAACTCAAGGGTCAATCACGACCCATGTCCCTACAACTCAAGGGCCAACCACCAATCGTGTCCCTACAACACTAGGGCCGACAACCACCCATGTCCCTGCAACTCAAGGGCCAACTACCACTCATGGGCCAACCCCCCCTGTCCCTACAACCCAAGGGCCAACCACCACTCATGTCCCTGCAACACTAGGGCCGACTACCCCCCCTGTCCCTCCAACTCAAAGGCCAACCACGACTCATGTCCCTGCAACACTAGAATCGACCACCACCCATGTTCCTGCAACTCAAGGGCCAACTACCACTCATGGGCCAAACCCCCCTGTCCCTACAACTCAAGGGCCAATCACTACCCATGTCCCGACAACTCAAGGGCCAGCCACCACTCATGTCCCTGCAACACTAGAATCGACCACCACCCATGTTCCTGCAACTCAAGGGCCAACTACCACTCATGGGCCAAGCACCCCCCCTGTCCCTACAACTCAAGGGCCAATCACTTCCCATGTCCCTATATCTCAAGGGCCAACCACAATTCCTGGGCCAACTACTACTCACGTTCCTACAATTCAAGTGCCAACTACCACTCAAAGGCCAACCCCCACTGATGGGCGAACCACCACTCATGCACCTGCAACTCAAGGGCCAGCTGTTCCAAATCCAACAACTATCACAGTGGTCCCTACATCTCCACCACCGGTTGTTGTGCTGTCAGCAACTTTGGAGGAACCGTTTGTGGAAGAATTCAATAATGTCAACAGTGCAGCGTATTTAGCTCTTGAAAACAGAGTTGTCACATCGGTGGGTCCAATTGTCATCTTCACTTTGCTTTTCATCTTGAGAAAAAATTCTAGCTTCTCATTTGTCTATTTTCCTCCGTGCTACAGTGCGACGCCATCTACAGGGAGAGATTTGGTTTTATCTTCATCCGCACCTTCATTATTCGGATTATGTAAGTTCATGCAATTGTTTTATGTCCACCCGAGAGTACATTACATTTTTTTGCAATACAGCCGTGCTGTGGTGTTGACGCGAATGGACATCACGCAAGTGGACGTCGGATTGGAGTTCAGGAACACATCTTCGACTCCAGTGGATGAGGTTGTCGTTGCCACCTTAGAGGAAACCCTTAGTCAGCCCAACAATACATTCAACATCAGCCTTGTCCCCGAAAGCATTCAAGTCATTCGTGAGTCTACCACCGCGAATGCCTTGACATATGTCTGCCGTTGTGATGTTCAAACCCTTTTTCTACTTTTTTTGTAATTTTTGGGTGTCAATAATTTGTCTGTTTAACAGTTAGTAGGAAGAATTATTGTTCTAGAAACCTTTGTTGGAGTAAATTTGTTGTGGGGACAAGGGGTAAAAACCACATCTTCTGATTGTCTTGCCAGAATCTCCACACAAAACAAATTTGACAACAACAAAACCCAACACCACTGCGACTCCAGCAACGACGGCCACCAAGAATCCCATTACGAGTGCCACATCACTCACCACGCGGACTTTGAGGTTTACATCCGTCGGCGAGACTTTCACAAATGACTTGCTCAATCAGTCGACTGCCGCGTTTATCAGCCGAGCGGCGCTCATCAAGATGACGGTGAGGTGCTTGGAATGCTCCCTTATACAAATTATGAAAGAAAAAAAAAGGAATGCAACCCTACAACCACGCTTGATTCTCTGGTTTTTCGTGCTCATGGAAAAATTATGTTTTTGTTAAAATTTTTGGCTTCCAAAACCCGTATCAATACAAGAACGCTCGTCACACGGCACTTTCACAACATGACAAAAATGACATCATGGGGCTTACAAAAGTGCTAGTTTGGATGAATTCTGAGAAAGAAGCATTCACACTAATTTAGTTGTCTTCTTTTGTAATCTTTTGTAAATGATGAGAATCGCCAGAAGACTGAACAACCAGCATTTGACAAAAATAACATTGAGAGGCTCACAGCAGAGTTTGCCTGGTTGAATGCTGAGAATCAGGTGTTCATGCTAATATAAAAAAAGAAATAAATCAAAAAGTTGTGTGGGGCATCACAATAAATGCTTGATTTTCAGTATTCACACATTATAAGAACAGTGATGCCGAGAATTGAGCATTCACACTCATTCTGCTGTGAAGCCCCCCAAAACGTGAATCCAGACTACTTGTTGCAAGGTTTGATTCTCAGCATTCAAACAATAAGAAAAACAAAGCTGATACATTATGATGCTCTCTCCACAGCTGGAACCACTCTACACAGTCACATTTTCTTCATTTAATGACCTGACAGTCACGTCATTCAGGTAATGTCCTTTTTCTACTTTTTTTGTAATTTTTGGGTGTCAATAATTTGTCTGTTTAACAGTTAGTAGGAAGAATTATTGTTCTAGAAACCTTTGTTGGAGTAAATTTGTTGTGGGGACAAGGGGTAAAAACCACATCTTCCGATTGTCTTGCCAGAATCTCCACACAAAACAAATTTGACAACAACAAAACCCAACACCACTGCGACTCCAGCAACGACGGCCACCAAGAATCCCATTACGAGTGCCACATCACTCACCACGCGGACTTTGAGGTTTACATCCGTCGGCGAGACTTTCACAAATGACTTGCTCAATCAGTCGACTGCCGCGTTTATCAGCCGAGCGGCGCTCATCAAGATGACGGTGAGGTGCTTGGAATGCTCCCTTATACAAATTATGAAAGAAAAAAAAAGGAATGCAACCCTACAACCACGCTTGATTCTCTGGTTTTTCGTGCTCATGGAAAAATTATGTTTTTGTTAAAATTTTTGGCTTCCAAAACCCGTATCAATACAAGAACGCTCGTCACACGGCACTTTCACAACATGACAAAAATGACATCATGGGGCTTACAAAAGTGCTAGTTTGGATGAATTCTGAGAAAGAAGCATTCACACTAATTTAGTTGTCTTCTTTTGTAATCTTTTGTAAATGATGAGAATCGCCAGAAGACTGAACAACCAGCATTTGACAAAAATAACATTGAGAGGCTCACAGCAGAGTTTGCCTGGTTGAATGCTGAGAATCAGGTGTTCATGCTAATATAAAAAAAGAAATAAATCAAAAAGTTGTGTGGGGCATCACAATAAATGCTTGATTTTCAGTATTCACACATTATAAGAACAGTGATGCCGAGAATTGAGCATTCACACTCATTCTGCTGTGAAGCCCCCCAAAACGTGAATCCAGACTACTTGTTGCAAGGTTTGATTCTCAGCATTCAAACAATAAGAAAAACAAAGCTGATACATTATGATGCTCTCTCCACAGCTGGAACCACTCTACACAGTCACATTTTCTTCATTTAATGACCTGACAGTCACGTCATTCAGGTAATGTAAAAAAAAAAAAGAAAGTAGAACTCTCACTGGGCAATCATGACACAGGATTATTTTTTTTGTTGTGTGTTTATGTTTTTATTTTTTACAGTAATGGCTCCATTATCAACAACATGAACCTGAGGTTCGCATCTAGCTTGGTGCCCAGCAATAATGTCATTGGTGATGTTTTAATCAAAGCCGCACCCAACATCACAGCCTTCAACGTGGACACCTCATCCATTTTTGTGAATGGCATATGTAAGCGACATATAAAAAAAGTGATTTTTGCACAATTATTGGGGGCAAATCGATTAATTTTTTTTTTTTTAATAGTGATTTCAAGCGGAGCGAGCCATAAGACGAGCCTCATCACCGCATCTGCTGTGGTGCTGTTGTCATGGTTACTGACGAGCAACCAATAGCATCTTTGCATGGGTTGGCCAAATAAGGGCTTGTGTGTGTGTGTGTGTGTGTGTGTGTGTGTGTGTGTGTGTGTGTGTGTGTGTGTGTGTGTGTGTGTGTGTGTGTGGAGGGGAGGGGCGAAAATGGGTCTCTGTGGATCGCCAATTGCCGTATCATGAAGTTACATGCATATGATTATGTTGTATGATATAATTTCTGGAAGTTTATAACTCAATGCACACTGTATATGAATTAAACTCTTTGTACACTGTTTGAAAATGACAGACTTTGCACACTGTATAGAAATTAAAGCCTTTAGTCATGCTATAAAAATAAAATAAAAGAAAGCCTGTAGACAAATTCAAATGAAAGCTTTGTACATTGTATAAGAATTAAAGTCTTAAGACACCCGAAACAAATGAAAGTTTTTCTACACTGTATCCAAATTAAAGCCTTTCCACACTCTATAACAATTGTATCCATTCATTTTCCACACCAAGTGAGCGGTGCTGGTGCTTATCCCAGCTGACTACCCGGCAGACTAGACCCTGAACTGGTCGACAGTCAGTCGCAGGGCACATATAGAGAAAAACAACCATTCCCACCCACATCCACACCCATGCTGCATGCCGCACACAAGTCAGGCGAGTGTTCCACGAAAACCATTAGCGACCTGTAGAACAAGTGAAGCCTTTAGACATTCTATTGCGATTAAAGCCTTTGTACACTACTAATTTAAGACATTTTACATTGTACACAAATTAAAGCCTTTGCACACCGTCTAGCAATGAAAGCCTTTTGACACTATTCAAATTGATGCTTTGTATTCCGTGTCAGGATTAAAGTCTTTACACACAACCATGAATTAAAGTTTTTGGCCACCAACTTGAAACCGTTAGACTACAAGAATTAAAATCTTTGTACAGTGTATACAAATCAAATCCTTTGTAGATTGTATGGCAACGAAAGATGTGGGGATTATATACAAATTAAAGCCTTTGGATATTATATAATAAAGCCTTAAGACACTCCGGAAAATGTGAATAAAACAGATGACCGAGCTTTTTCACCTTATTTCTAAGGGAGAGCCCAGAAACCCTGTGTCTCGTTCTTTCGGTCATGACCAACAGCTCGTGACCATAGGGCAGGAACTTAGATCAACTGGTAAATTGAGAGTTTCGCCTTTTGGCTCAGCTTCGTTTTCACCACAACGGACTGATACAATATGCGCATCAGAGCAGAAGCTGCACCGAGCTGCCTGTCGATCTCCCACTCCATCCTGCCCTTCCTCGTGAGCAAGACCTCAAGATACTTAAACTCCTCCACTTGGGGTCACCCCCAGCCCGGCATGGGAAAACCACCATTTTCTGACTGAGGACCATTATTTCAGATTTGGACATACTGATTCTCATCCCAGTCGCTTCACACTCGGCTGCGAACCACTCCAGTGAGAGTTGGAGATCCTGGCTGGGAGAAGCCAACAGCAACACATCATCTGCAAAAAGTCGAGATGCAATACTGAGGCCACCAAACTGGACCCTCTCAACGCCTCGGCTGCACCTAGAAATTCTCCATAAAGGTTATGAACCGAATCGATGACAAAAGAGCAGCCTTGGCAGAGTCCAACCCCCCCTGGACACGAATCTGACTTACTGTCGGCAATGCGAATGACACATCAGTGGCAGAGGGACCGAACAGCTCATATCAGGAGGTTTGGTAACTCATACTCCGGAAGAAGTCAGTGTATTTTCACAAATTAAAACCGTTGCACACTGTATAAAAATTAAAGCCATTGTGAGCAGTATAAATATTAAATCCAGTGCCCAGCGGTTTGGCATTCCATCACTAGATGGCACTGATGTTCAATATTCTTTACAATGCCGAGCAGGGATTCATTGTGCTCCTGAGGTCAAAAAGCCTTTTGCAATGTCAAGGAACTTTATCACAACAGCTGGCTCAATGTCTTTTGTGACATCTAGTGGAAGAGCATTAATTGTACTCCCTGTCACTGGCATTGATAGATGAACACATCTGCATTATCAACTGTAATTAAATAATCGCTTTTGTGTCAATTAAATTAACCCCCCCCCACCCCCCTCAAAAGAGGTGTTTATGTGTCTTTTCAGACTCCGCGCATTCAATCCCAGGTACTTCATATTTTTTTGAAGACTGACAGTAAAAAAATGAGTTAATGTAAATGCTATACTTTTTCTCAGTGGTGGGTGGGAATAAAACGTAATTACAATAAACCCGAATTACTAGTTCAATATATTGCGTGCATGTTTTGCCTTTCAATTGCATAACGGATGAATCATGGAATCTCCGGCGTTCTCATTATTAGTATTGTGCAAAAAAACTAAGGTGTCACATTGTAGTAGTTTTGTTTCCAACAGTGCGACATTGGAAACGTTAAACCAACAACCATGTAACATGAATGAAGACGGACGTCATGGGGATTATCTTTTTTGTCATCGCTTCATTGCTGCAGTACAATAGAACCCTGGGAGTTTGTCCTTGCCACTAAAATTAGACACCTTATAGTTAGCAATATCCAACATTGGTTTGTTTGCTTAGATACTTATAGACACTAAAAAGTAAATATTTATAGACTGTAAGATGCATTTGTGTACTCATCTTCAATATAAAAATATTTATTTTGAAAAAAAATCCCCACACAGAAAATGGAGTCTGTGTACTGAGAAGGGGGGGAAAAAACTTTACATGATGACAAATCAATCATGTTTGGGAGAGACAGCAACAAACCACAGTCTTTTCTTTAATAAGGCCATGAATGGGGAATATCTCATTTTCTCTTCTTCATGTTTCTCCATGTTGATGCTGTTTTTTCTTTCTCCCACCATACAAGACACCAACATCTTAACTCTATTAATACAGACACATATATACATACATATATACATATATACCACAGATATATATAACACACACACACAGTATATATGTGTGTGTGTATATGTATATATATGTATGTGTATGTATACATATACATATATATATATATATATATATATGTATATATATATATATGTATGTGTATATATACATATACATATATATATATACACATGTTTTTTAAAATCGTGACATCATCCGAAAAAAACAAAACAGCATAATTTGACATGGGAAAGAATAAGTAGTAAAGATGTGTCTTCAAGTATAAAGAGGAAAAGTAAAAAAATAAAATAAAATCGACATTTAACACTGTATGATTTTTTTTTTTAATTGTGTTTTTATTTTGTGTGTGTGTGTGTGTGTGTGTGTTATGTGTGTGTGTGTGTGTGTGTGTTTTTCGCAAGTGCCACAGGGGTTCCGCCCACATTGCTCATTCTTTATTTGCTTAATGTCACATTTGAAATCGGGCGGAATGCACCGTGACAAAAGAATGGAGGGTGTGAGTGACAGCTGCCAGCCCTGATCCAGGAATTGTTCAAAAATGTTTTACAACATTGCAGCCCTATGCATCACCTTGGGGTCACGCCAAACGCCTTCTGGAGCCCTGCGTTATAAAAGCCAGTCCGAAAGATGCAATGTGACACTCAACAAGGTGAAGTCTCAAACTGGAAATACGAAAATACAAAAAAAAAAGGAGAATCGGGAGAACACAAGAAAGGCATTGATTTTATTCATCGTAAAATAAGGTATGTATATTTTTTCCCCGATTAACTCTTGAACATAAAAATAAATATGGGAACTATAACTTTGGATTTCTGGTCGTGGTCCCCCAAGACGAAAACTGTTGTACATTTTATTTAACTGAGAGCACTAATTAGTTCATCTCACTGCTTGTGTCTTTTTATTTAATATTTTCTAGTGTACATTTAATCATTTTACCAATATGTTTAAAAAGTATAAGGAATGTGATATGTAGGATTCATATATTGAATGTATTTGTTTTGAAATACGTTTTAATTTCAGTGTTTTCATTGTATTTATAAACTATTTAAAACATTCACACTGATGAGAAAACATGACAGCGTCATATAAATAATTTCACAATTTTCACAAGAATCATTTTAGATAAATTATCAAATGTGCGGAAGACAAACGGAAACTGCAGGTTTCATGTATTAATTTTTTTCATATTATGTTTTTAATAATATTTTTATTGACAATGTTTTCATCTACAAGAATATTATTATAGAAATAATACAAGGGTGTGTGTGGGGTGTTAAACCACGACAAGTCATTAAAATAGTTTCTTTTCATTTTATTAATTAAAGGCAATATATTAGTTTATTAACATGTTTAAATGGGGCTGAACTAAGACTTGATTAGAAGGACACACAAACAGGTAGCTGCCACACATCTGTATGTTTGTTTAATTAATATTTTCCATTGTATAGAACCAAACCAAACAAGATGCTCATTCGACGGATGATGGCAACGTGCCTGATTCTAACAGGTAACTTGATCTGTTCGAACATAGTGAGTCTTGTTTTTCCTGGACACAAGAGAAAAGGGTTCAAAAGTATTTTTTTTAAATAAGGATTGAGGACAACCAGAGCATGGGAACCAACATCGAGCACAACGGCAACACCTGATCCGCCAACAACTATGGGGATAATGACAACACTGACGGAACAAACGACTGCTGTCGTAAAAACAGAATCTCCAACAGCAGTGACGATACCTGCAGAATCAACGACAGTTGCCATAACAACAGACCCTACCACAACAACAATCACGACACCTGCTGAAACATCAACCGCTGCTGCAACAATAACTGCCGAAACAACAACAGTTGCCACAACGACAGACTTTACCACAACGGCAGACTCGACAACTGCAGACACAACAACTGCAGAAACAACAACCGCTGAAACAACATCTGGCGAAACAACGACAGTTGCCACAACAACAGACCTTACCACAATGGCATCCACGAGACCTGCAGAAACATCTGCTGCTCCAACAACTGCAGCAACAACAGTTGCCACAAACATAGCAGAGACGACACCTGCAGAAACAACAAACGCTGCTGCAACAACCATTGCAGTCATGGCAACAGCTGAAACAAATGACTATACCACGATGGCATCCACAACACCTGCGGAAACAACAACTGTTGAAACAACAGCAGCAGAAACAACAACAGTTGCCACAGCAACAGACTTTACTCCAACGGCATCTACAACACCTGCAGAAACAATAACTGCTGCTGCAACAACAATTGCAGAAACAACAATTGCTGAAACAACAACAACAGCAGAAGCAACAACAGTTGCCACAAAAATAGATTCTACCACAATGGCATCCACAACACCTGCGAAAACAACAACCGCTGAAACAACAGCAGCAGAAACAACAGTTGCCAAAACAACAGACTTTACCCCAACGGCATCTACGACACCTGGAGAAACAATAACTGCTGCTGCAACAACAATTGCAGAAACAACAATTGCTGAAACAACAACAGCAGAAGCAACAACAGTTGCCACAATAATAGATTCTACCACAATGGCATCCACAACACCTGCGGAAACAACAACCGCTCAAACAACAGCAGAAGAAACAGCAACTGCTGAAATAACATCTGCCGAAACAACAACAGACTTTACCACAATGGCCTCCGCGACACCTGCAGAAACAACAACTGCTGCTGCAACAACAACTACAGAAACTACAGCTGCCACAAATGGAGCAGAGACAACACCTGCCGAAACAACAGTTGCCACAACAACAGACTTTATCACAACGGCAGACACGACACCTGCACAAACAACAACTGCTGTTACAACTGCAGAAACAACAACCGCTGAAACAACTACATTTGCCACAACAATAGACTCTACCTCAATGGCATCCACGACACGTGTGGAAACAAAAACAGTTGAAACAACAGCAGCAGAAACAACAACAGTTGCCACAAACGCAGCAGAGACAACACCTGCAGAAACAACAACAGCTATTGCAACAACTCTAGAAACAACAACAGTTGCCACAACAGACTATACCACAACGGCAGACACGACACTTGCAGAAACAACAATAGCTGCTGCAACAACAACTGCAGAAACAACAACCGCTGAAACAACAGCAGCAGAAACAAAGACAGTTGACACAACAGACCTTACCACAATGGCAGACACGACACCGGCAGAAACAACAACAGCTGCTGCAACAAGTGCAGAAACAACACCTGCTGAAACAACAGCAGAAACAACAGTTGCCACAAATGCCGCAGACACAACAACTGCAGAAACAACAACCACTGAAGCATCTGCTGAAACAACAACAGTTCCCACAACAACAGACTTTACCACAACGGCAGACACGACTGCAGAAACAACAACCGCTGAAACAGCAGCTGCCACAACGACAGACTTTACCACAACGGCAGACACAACAACTGCAGAAACAACAACCGCTGAAACAACAGCAGCAGAAACAACTACAGTTGCCACAACAGACCTTACCACAATGGCAGACACGACACCTGCAGAAACAACAGCTGCTGCAATAACTGCAGAAACACCAACTGCTGAAACAACAGCAGAAACAACAGTTGCCACAAACGCAGCAGACACAACAACTGCAGAAACAACAACCACTGAAAGAACATCTGCTGAAACAACAACTGCTGAAACAACAACTGCTGAAACAACAACCACTGAAACAACAACTGCTGAAACAACAACAGCAGAAACAACAGTTGCCACAAACGCAGCAGACACAACAACTGCAGAAACAACAACCACTGAAAGAACATCTGCTGAAACAACATCTGCTGAAACACCAACTGCTGAAACAAAAACCACTGAAACAACATCTGCTGAAACAACAACAGTTGCCACAACAACAGACTTTACCACAACGGCAGACATAACGACTGCAGAAACAACAACCGCTGAAACAACAACAGCTGCCACAACAACAGACTTTACCACAACGGCAGACACAACAACTGCAGAAATAATAATTGCAGAAACAACAACCGCAGAAACAACAGCAGAAGAAACAACAATTGCTGAAACAGCAACCACTGAAATAGCATCTGCTGAAACAACAACAGCTGCCAAAACGACAGACTTTACCACAACGGCAGACACAACAACTGTGGAAACAACAACCGCTGAAACAACAGCAGAGGAAACAACAACCGCTGAAACAACATCTGCCGAAACAACAACAGTTACCACAACAACAGACTTTACCACAACAGCAGACATTACACCTGCAGAAACAACTGCTGCTGCAACAACTATTGCGGGAACAACAACCGCTGAAACAACAGCAGCAGAAACAACAACAGTTGCTACAACAGCAGCAGTGACGACACCTGCCGAAACAACAGCTGCCCCAACAATAGATTCTACCACAATGGCATCCATGACACTTGCGGAAACAACAACCGTTGAAACAACAGCAGCAGAAACAACAACAGCTGCTGCAACAACTACAGAAACAAGCACTGAAACATCTGCTGAACCAACAACAGTTGCCACAAAAGACCAACACCTGCGGAAACAACAACCGTTGAAACAACAGCAGCAGAAACAACAACAGCTGCTGCAACAACTATTGCGGGAACAACAACCGCTGAAACAACAGCAGAGGAAACAACAACCGCTGAAACAACAGCAGCAGAAATAGCAACAGTTGCCACAAAAGACCTTATCACAATGGCAGACACGACACCTGCAGAAACAACAACAGCTGCTGCAACAACTACAGAAACAAGCACTGAAACATCTGCTGAACCAACAACAGTTGCCACAAAAGACCTTATCACAATGGCAGACACGACACCTGCAGAAACAACAACAGCTGCTGCAACAAGTGCAGAAACAACAACTGCTGAAACAACACCAGAAACAACAGTTGCCACGAATGCCGCAGACACAACTGCAGAAACAACAACCACTGAAATAACATCTGCTGAAACAACAACAGTTGCCACAATAACAGACTTTACCACAACGGCAGACATAACGACTGCAGAAACAACAACCGCTGAAACAACAACAGCTGCCACGACAGACTTTACCACAATGGCAGAAACAACAACCGCTGAAACAACAGCAGCAGAAACAACTACAGTTGCCACAACAGACCTTACCACAATGGCAGACACGACACCTGCAGAAACAAGAACAGCTGCTGCAACAACTGCAGAAACAACAGTTGCCACAAACGCCGCAGACGCAACAACTGCAGAAACAACAACCACTGAAACAACATCTGCTGAAACAACAGCAGTTGCCACAACAACAGACTTTACCACAACGGCAGACACGACACTTGCAGAAACAACAATAGCTGCTGCAACAACAACTGCAGAAACAACAACTGCAGAAACAACAACTGCTGAAACAACAGCAGAAACAACAGTTGCCACAAATGCCGCAGACACAGCTGGAGAAACAACAACCACTGAAACAACATCTGCTGAAACAACAACAGTTGCCACAACAACAGACTTTACCACAACGGCAGACACAACGACTGCAGAAACAACAACCACTGAAACAACAACAGCTGCCACAACGACAGACTTTACCACAACGGCAGACACAACGACTGCAGAAACAACAACCACTGAAACAACAGCAGCAGAAACAACTACAGTTGCCACAACAGACCTTGCCACAATGGCAGACACGACACCTGCAGAAACAACAGCTGCCGCAGTAACTGCAGAAACAACCACCGCTGAAACAACAACAGCAGAAACAACAGTTACCACAAACACAGCAGAGACAACACCTGCTGAAACAACGACAGATGCCACAACAATAGACTTTACAACAACGGCAGTCACGACACCTGCAGAAACAACCACTACTGCAACAACAACTGCAGAAACAACTGCTGAAACAACAGCAGCAGAAACAACAGTTGCCACAACAGCAAAGACGACACCTGCCGAAACAAGAACTGTTGCCACAAACGCAGCAGAGACAACACCTGCTGAAACAACAGTTGCCACAACAACAGACTTTACCACAACAGCAGACACGACACCTGCAGAAACAACTGCTGCTGCAACAACTGCAGAAACAACAACCGCTGAAAAAACAACAACAGAAACAACAACAATTGCCACAACAGCAGCAGTGACGACACCTGGCGAAACAACAACTGCTGCCACAAATGCAGCAGAGACAAAACCTGCTGAAATAACAACAGATGCCACAATGACAGACTTTACCACAACGGCAGACACAACTACTGCAGACACAACAGCAGCCACAACAATAGATTCCACCACAATGGGATCCACAACACTTGTGGTAACAACAAGCGTTGAAACACCAGCAGCAGAAATGACAACAGTTGCCACAACAACAGACCTTACCACAATGGCAGACACGACACCTGCAGAAAAAATAACAGCTGCTGCAACAACTGCAGAAACAACAACCGCTGAAACAACAACAATAGAAACAACAGTTGCCAAAAACACAGCAGAGACCACACCTGCTGACACAACGACAGATGCCACAACAATAGACTTTACCACAACAGCAGACACGACACCTGCAGAAACAACTGCTGCTGCAACAACAGTTGCCACAAACACAGCAGAGACCACACCTGCTGACACAACGACAGATGCCACAACAATAGACTTTACAACAACGGCAGTCACGACACCTGCAGAAACAACAATAGACACAATTGCCACAACTGCCAAACGAGTGACTTTCAGATCTCTTCAAAGCACCTTTACAAGTGATTTGCAGGATCCTAACTCTGCGGCTTACCAAAACAGAGCAGCCATGATCAAAGCACAAGTAAGTAATATTAAAAAAATGATGTCACATAATGAAATGTGATTACAGTGATAAACTCAAACCAACATCCTTGATCCCCGATCTCCACCCCTCTCCACAGCTTACACCGATATTTTCTGAAGCATTTCCTTCCTCCTTCGTGATCCTGATCATCATCACATTCAGGTACTTTGCTGTTGTTGTCGAACAGGTGAAGTAACTTTAAGTATTTCCAGTTGACAAACGTTTTTTTTTTTTGTGATTTCTTCTGCAGGAGTGGCTCAGTCGTCAATGTCATGGATGCTGAGTTCACAGATACATCGACACCAAGTAACACTGAAATTACGGAGGTCTTGTCCGATGCGGCTTTAACTGTCAATGGCTTTGACATTGAAACGGGCTCCATTACTGTTGAGTCAACAGCCATAGCTGCGTCAACGACACAATCTGCTGTAACGGCAACTGCTGCTTTGACAACCACAGAAGCAACTACGCCAGTGACGACAGCTGCTCAGACAGCTGTACAAACCTCTACAACGGCAGAGGTGGTGGTGACTTCTGCAGCAACAAATTCTAAAACCGATCCCACATCAGTCGCAACAGCAACGGGCATGTTGACAACCCCTTCTCAGACAACAACTGATGGAACTGCACTGACATCTACCGATGTGACAACTGCCGTTGCCACAACAAGGGAGTCAACAACTCTTGTTGAAACAACTGAAGAAAAATCTCTCTCAACATCATCAACACTGCCAACAAGTGTGGAGACAACTGCACAAACATCAGCTCCCACAACAACTGCAGCGTTGACGTCAACCAGCACAAGTGAAACATTAACACCTGCTGAAGTGACAACAGAGATAGCAAGTGCTGAAACAACAGATGTAGCCACAACTACAGAATCTGAGATAACTCAGACAATTGTGGAAACATCAGCTCCCACAACAGCAGCCCTGACATCTGCAGCAACAAGTGAAATATCAACGCCTGATGGGGTGGCAACTGGGGCAGGAACGACTGAAACAACAGCTCCAGCCACGACTGCAGAATCTGAAACAACCACTGCGACAGAAACATCAGCTCCCACAACAGCAGCAGCTCTCACCACATCTACAGACACAAGTGAAACATTAACACCTGCTGGAGTGACAACAGAGGCAGCTACGACTGAAACAACAACGAGAGCCACAACTGCAGAATCTGAAACAACCACTGAGACGGAAACATCAGCTCCCACAACAACAGCAGCCCTGACGGCATCTGCAGCCACAAGTGAAACATTAACACCTACTGGAGTGACAACAGAGGAAGCTACGACTGAAACAACAGCTGGAGCCACGACTGCAGCTTTTGAAACAACCACTGACACAGAAACATCGGCTCCCACAATAACAGCAGCCCTGACAACATCTGCAGCAACAAGTGAAATATCAACGCCTGATGGGGTGGCAACTGGGGCAGGAAGGACTGAAACAACATCTGTAGCAACTACTGCAGCTTCTGAAACAACCACTGAGCCAGAAACATCGGTTTCCACAACAACAGCAGCCTTGACAACATCTGCAGCCACAAGTGAAACATTCACACCTACTGAAGTGACAACAGAGGAAGCTACGACTGAAACAACAACTGGAGCCACGACTGTAGAATCTGAAACAACCACTGACACAGAAACATCGGCTCCCACAACAACAGCAGCCCTGACGACATCTGCAGCCACAAGTGAAACATTAACACCTACTGGAGTGACAACAGAGGAAGCTACGACTGAAACAACAGCTGGAGCCACGACTGCAGCTTCTGAAACAACTACTGAGCCAGAAATATCAGCTCCCACCACAACAGCAGTCCTGACGACATCTGCAGCAACAAGTGAAATATCAACGCCTGATGGGGTGGCAACTGGGGCAGGAAGGACTGAAACAACATCTGTAGCAACTACTGCAGCTTCTGAAACAGCCACTGAGCCAGAAACATCGGCTCCCACAACAGCAGCAGCCCTGACGACATCTACAGCCACAAGTGAAACATTCACACCGACTGGAGTGTCAACAGAGGAAGCTACGACTGAAACAACAGCTGGAGCCACGACTGCAGCTTCTGAAACAACTACTGAGCCAGAAATATCAGCTCCCACCACAACAGCAGTCCTGACGACATCTGCAGCAACAAGTGAAACATCAACTTCTGATGGGGTGGCAACTGGGGCAGGAACGACTGAAACAACAGCTGGAGCCACAACTGCAGAATCTGAAACAACCACTGAGCCAGAAACATCGGCTCCCACAACAGCAGCAGCCCCGACGACATCC